TTTCCCTTCAGAGATGGATCCCACTTACTAGTGAACGAGATTTCAACCCTTTCTTCATTTTCCGTCACAACACTAAAACTTGTTCCCACAATCCTGCGCAAATTATCATAACAGTACTAAAAACATCATTATTTAGAACCACAGTTCAAGTGTTTGGTTTGGTTTATGTTTATGATATGAATCTGTAATAGTAACATTATTAGATGCAATAATGATAACAAAACATACCTTTCAAATGTCCCAGTTGTTCCTGTGCTTCCAGCTTCACTCCAAACAACGTCCCAATACCTATGGATTCATTATTTAAAGTAATTAACCATAAGTAGTGAGGAAAAATGATTAAGATTTAAGAAAACCAGATCTGAATCTCAACGTTCACGTGCATAGATATATTATGTACCCTCTATTATCTCTTTCGTTAAGAATTTCAAGAAGATTATCAGTGCCATTATATTGTATTCTGGTAACAAATCCACCTGGGTTGGATAAATACACTTGCACTATGCCATTGTCCATAACCACCTACAATTCGAAATTCAATTTCCCATAAATTCAGAATATTATTAATTATTCCGAAACTTTGAACATAGAATTAAGAAAACAATGTCTTACTCGACTGTGTTCGATACGCAACTGCACTGCTTGTGAGGCCATGGTGAAGGATCTTGGCTAGTGTTGCGTTATCTTCAACAATATATTTTTGATACTTATACTTCATGCAAGTTAGTTCTTGGGGTTCGTGAAATAAGAGTCTGTTCTGGTTTCTTTCAACTAAAGCCCAAGCAGTTTTTTTTTTTTTTTTTTTTACTTTATTTCTTCGGTTTTCAACTTTTCATGGTCATGTCTTTACTCAATCGCTACTGTAGCCGTGTACGTTTACGACTGTGACTTATCATATATTTACACGGTACCTAACATTTATACCCTTTATACCTATTATAAAGGGATACAAGGATATGTAATCACTTATAATCTTGACTTTTATACCCTTTAAATGTAAAAAAGTAAATAAAAAGTTATATTTCTTTTGAATAATTACAAACAATATTCTAACTTTTTATCTCTATATAATTATTAAAAGTACGAAGTGCTTCGATCTCTTTAGTCTAAATAAAATTAATAATAGAGTTAATTACTTATACACTGCTAGTATAAAAAAATTTTATACTAGCAATCAATCATATCTTTTAATAGTGTCATGTCAGTTGCTCATTTAATGAAATAAAAATAAAATAAAATAATTTAAAAAATATGATTGGTTGCCAGTATAAAAATTTTTACTAGCAGTGTATGGATGATTAACTCTTAATAATATTTGGTTAAGGAAAGAAAGTGAAAAGAAAAATAAATGAGATTGATTTAGGGAGAAAAAGAGAAATGTTTGTATAATCTGTCATAAAAAAATATCTTGATTTTTTTAGCTTTTTTTTTTTATCTTGACTGTGAATGGTTTAATAAGAATTGAAAAATCAAAATAAATATCAAAATATTTATATATATATATATATCTAGTGTAAAGAAGAAAATAAGAAAAATAACTAAAGTTGAATGAGCAAGTGATTAATAACTGAAAAAGATTTGGACAATTATAAAAATAAAACAGTTATTTATGAATAATTTAAAAAATAAAATAAAAATAGGAGCAAATATGTTCACATAAAATTAAACACAAAAAATGATTACTAAAAATGGTATTATTTTTATTTATTTTATAGAAATATAAATATAAAATAATATAGGAATAGATTTTATTTTCTCTCTTCTAGCTCACTTATCAAGTGTCAAAATAGGTTTTTGGTGTTTAAAAATTATTTTTGTAATACAGAATAGGGAAAAAGATAGAAATAAATAATAAGTATTGAAGTGTTTAAAAATGAATTTCATGTATCATCCTTTTCTTTTGTTATTATATATAATAGGCTTAAATATGTATTTAGTCCCTCAAATTTAAGATAAATTTGTTTTTGGTCCCTCAAATTTAAAACTGCTATTTTTAGTTCTTGTAATTTTCAAAAATCTTGTTTTAGTCCCTTAGGTCACCAATAGCATATTTGAAAGTGACTAATTAAGATAGTTATGCAATATCAATCAAATTTAATATGATATTTTCACTAATAGAAATACCAGTTGGTAGATTTTATGCAATAATATTTGATAAATGTCTTAACAAAATTTGAATATAAGGACTAAAATAAGATTTTTTGAAATTATAAGGACTAAAAATAACAATTTTAAATTTGAAGGACTAAAAACATATTTATCTTAAATTTGAGGTACTAAAAATATATTTAAGCCTATATAATATTATACAGCTTGTGACTTATTAAACAATTATTTTTTGACTTGGCTTATAGTTTTGTCACACGTAATGCCCTCAACAAACATCACAAAATAATCGTTTGAGGTCTAAGAGATTCAAAAGTAAAGAAGAAGTGATATCTTTGAAATTTTGTATAAGATATAATGTAATGAGTAATAATGATCTGTATTCTTTAAGGATTAATTATCTTTTAAATTATTTTATTTTATTTTTATTTTATTAAATAAGTAATTGACATGATACTATTAAAAGATATAATTAGTTGTCAGTATAAAAAATTTTTACACTATCAATGTATAAGTGATTAACTCATTCTTTAAACACCTACATATACTATAATTAGTTGACACTATTTAATTTTTCTAATTTTTCTTCAAATCATATACTATCTATATATATATATATCACGTTTAATTCCTCTCCCTCCCTTCTATTTCTTTCTCTCTCTTGAGTATAGATTATCAAAACTTTTAAACACTGTCCCTTTAACATTCTACGCAAAGATATAATGTGAATGTAATATCTGAAATTATTATTTTGTAATATATTTTTAGAAACTGCTGAAAAGTATATATCCATTTCCCTTTGTTGGATAAAGCCCCTGCTTGCTGGGACGTAGATATGACCATTCCAGAGAAGAGAGAATCATATCGGAGCAAGATATTTTGCGTTGCTCAAAAGGGTTGCCAGCGAAGAGGTTTTAGAGTGTGTTTAAATTATAATTAAAAAATTAAGTCAAGTTAAATTTAATCTTTTAAAATTAATTTTTAAAAAATAAAATAACTTCTTAATTTTTATTCAATTTCATACTTGACGAAATAGAAAACTTGTTGTCAAATATAGACATTACGTTTGAGATCAGCTCATTAAAATTACAAATTTCAAACTAAACATAACCTCAGTGATTACAATACATCACGGTTTTGCAATTCTTATGACTTTTTATTAGATGAAATAACTGTGAACAACAAAATTATGCTATGATTCTGATAATTTGTTTTGAATAATTAATTAAGTCAATTAGTGGGGCACACTAGGCACCACTATTATGGAAATAGTACCCTTATCTTTTGTTATTTTGTCTCCGTCTCTGATATTAGATATAACATTATCATCACATGACACATTAACTAGCATACTGATTTACGCCACAATTTCCTGAAACAAACTTAACCTAATGCAAGTAATATTTGATTGATTAAAATATAAGATTGAACGTGTTTAAATGCCCAATTAGGAACAGCTGCTGCACTACTGCTTCTCTATCGTGGGTGTCCTTTGTTAAAGAATAAATTAATGTCATGAATTGATAACATATTGGCAAATGTCTTATTGTAATAATGTATTTAGATTAAAAATTGTAAAATTTGATTTTGTAAATTAGTCTTATTGGTACAAATCCCTAACTATGATTGCACCCTTTAAACTTGAGTGTGCTTTTAAATATTCGGGGGTTGGTTTGTTCGTAACTTTCTGACATTTTGTCTATAGACTTGTCTGTCCTATAAGATCAACTAAATACTGTGTGAGAGTGAGACCTTTCACTGATAGTCACCCGTGAGCAACCATTTTCTTGGAATTTTTTACTATACTGCCACAGAAAAAAAAAAAAAAGTCAAAATGTCGAATTTTTTACCCAAATATTATTATTTTTTTAAAAAAATTACAAGATTAACAACTGTGCATGTTTATTTACTAAGTTAGAACTATTTACTGTGCAAGCTCAGAATTCGGTTCCCGGGGAACTGAATTCTGAGCATCAAAGTGTTATTTTTTTTGTTTTTTCAACTCAGAATTCGGTTCCCGGGGAACCGAATTCTGAGTTGGTTATATATATATTTTTTTTCTTCGTGTTTGTGGGGAAATGTGAGCAGTTGTTGGAAGTGGAACGGCCCGTTCCAAAAGCAGAACAGGCCGTTCTGCTTAAAGTCACAGAGTGAAATTTCTGAAATTGAAACGGGCCAAGAATGGGCCGTTCCAGAGTTAAGAATTAACGTTGAAATAGACCCATGAAACGGCCCGTTTTAAAGAAATTTTTTAGTCCCTTTTTTAACCTGGAACGGGCCGTTCTTGTTTTAGAACAACCCGTTCCAAAATAGAAATTTACACATTTTTTTGCAAGTGGAACGGCCTTAGAACGGCCCGTTCCAGGAGCTGTTTTAACGAAAGGGAACCTTGTTTGGAACGGGCCGTTCTGGGTAAACAGTAAAAACGTAAGTTTTTCTATAAATAGACCCTCTCCCCTTCATTTTTTTCACACGATTTCAGCTTACCTTCTCTCCTTTATTCCTTCCGTCTACTCCTTTTGAATCACTTTCTTAAAATCACGTTCATTTTCTTTAAACCTTTCATAAAATGACTTCTTCAATCTACGTTATTGTTCATTCTAATGGTTCCATTAACCAATGTTCGAATGAAGGAATCACCTTCTCCTCTCCATCTGCAAAATTAGTTCGTATCAACAGAGGAATTACTCTAGAAAGGCTTCAAAGAGTCATCCACAGAAAGCTACATCGACAAGATTCTGAGAGGGTGGCTAGCATACATTTTCGGTACCCTATTAGACTTGGCCCAGGGGTTAGTAACTATACCTGTGTTGAGTTGACGGATGATGAAGACGTTGAGGCACTTTTCAATGTTCACGATTCTAATCAACTTCAATCAGGTATTGAATTATATGCTACATTTACTACAGTTGAATCACATGCACCACAAGTTTCACCTTCACGTTCACCTTACGAAATTTATCAAAGTTACCAGTACACTAACCCATCTGGCCCTTCTTAAGATATCCCCTCCAACTACGACAATGAGTCATACACACAGCTTTTTGTTGAGCTTATGACAGCTTGAAGCCTAAAGAAGTTTTGATGATCACAACACAA